GGGAATGCTGCAACCGCCTTATAAAGAAGCCCAGGTTAGCTTCCTAGAAGATGAGAGTCCCAGGGGGAGAGACTCAGCCATCCCAGCTGTGTTAGCGGAGGCTCCAGACACATGAGGGTTGGGTGATTTGTTACTCAGCAAAAGCTAACTGATACAGGATGGTTTTAGCCTGTCAAAATGACTGGGGAATTCTATTGACATTTAGATGCTGGGGACCAGATTTCTTAAATGTCCAGCAATGTACACCAGCAGTCCTGCACAATGAAGAATTGTCCCATCCAGTTAACAGTGTCCCCACTGAAGGGACCATGCCTGAGCTTTCCACACCGATTGGAAGAGAGCAGAGCTGAAGGAAATTAATGTTTATTGAGTGCCTTATCTGTACCGGACATTTTACATACATCACTTCATTGATCCTACACAACAACCTTCTATGATTAGCCCCACTTATAACAGATAAGAAAACTTGAGACTCGGTGAGGTAACTTGGTTGTCTCATGTCGCATAGCTAATCAGTAGCAGCACGAGGACTTGAACCCATGTCTGTCGAATGTCACCTCAGAGAGTCCTTCCCTGACCACCTACTCGAAGGTATCCTCCACACCCACGACCATCACTATTTATTAGGTTACTCTTTTTTTTCATAGCACTTATTTCTATTTGAAATCGGTGTGTTTGTTTACTTGTCATGAGCCGCCTACCAGAAAGTAAATCCCATAAGTGTATATATTTACAGGGATCTATTTGCCATCACAGTTCCATTGCCTAGAACAGTGTGGGGCACATAAAATAAAAAAAAAAAAAAAGAAAACACTCAGCAAATTATTGTTAAATGGTTGAAGTGAATGAATGGCTTTCCATTAAATCCAGATGCCTAGGCCTCATGCAGGCTGGTTTCTCTCTGCTTCTGTTCCTGTTGGTCTCAAATCCCTTCTCTCCACTGGCTCTGATTAATGTGGCCCAGCCTGAGCCCTCTGACATGACTAAAGGAACTTCAGAAATCCTCTACTACAATCCCTTCATTTTCCAAGTAAGAAAAATGAGGTTCATTGACATCTCCCCAGGGATAGCCCTTCTCAAGCCGCTCGTTGGTCTCAACACTTCTGCTGCTTTCCTGAGCCTATTTCTTCGTCTTTAAAATGTGGATAATAACCACCCTGCCTGTTTCACTGAGTTGTTGTGTGGATGATATAAAATCATGTGACTTCCTTAAATCTCACCAGCCCCAGGGGTGAAAATTAAATATCACGATAACAATCACAGGTAGTACTTGGGCCTGTGGTACTTTCGCAAATGCTAACTCAGGTTCTTTAAAAATTGAGCGCTTTATTTTGATCACAGTTTAAACACTTGCTATATCAACAAATTCCCTCTCAACTTTATACGATTGTAATAATTGCAGATAACAAGACAAGTATGGTTACCCATTGCTGTGGAACAAACTACCTCAAAGCTAGTGGCTTCAAACAACAACGGCTTATTGTTGTTCATGATTCTGTTGGCTGTGCAGTTCTGCTGCTGCTTTTGCCTGGGCTCATTCATGTATCTAGCAACATTCAGCCAGTGGGTGTGCTAGGGGCGGGCTGGCCTCAGCAGGAATGGCTGAGACAGCTGGGCCCCTCTCTTCATGATCTTTCATCCCAGGCTTCTTCCTTCGTGACATGACACTCCAAGAGGACAAAGGTGGAAGCTGCAAAGCTTCTTGAGGCCTAAATTCCAGAACTCGTACAACATTACTGCACCATATACAACTAGTCAAAGTAAGTCACAAGGCCAGCCCACGTCCCAGGGGATGGAGAATAGAGTCCACTTCTCAGTGTGAGCAGCAAAGTCACATGGCAAAGTGCTGTGCATTCTGGAATGGAACCAACTTGTGGCCATTCAAACAATTGTGATTTTGCTTTATATTATTTCATAGCTCAGACCAATATTTGTTAATGATGTAATTCTGATTTTTAAAGCATAACGGGAAGCAGTATTCAAATAAACAAAACTTGGGCTGGTCAAGTGGCTCAGTTGGTTAAGAGCTCGCTCAAGGGTTTGAGCTCTGAGCAACAGCAGTTCGAGTCCAGCCCGAGCTGAGTTGCCGCTGAGCTGCCAACAGGTGGCAGGATGGCTCAGCTAAAAAAACAAACAAACAAACAAAACTACTCTCAAATAGCTTTGTTATAAGATTTTTTTAATCAAATTAATTCTCAAATAGCCTTTTTATAAGATGGTTATAAAAATCGACAAATGTTTATCCTTCCTCCTACATATACACACACACTAGGGGCAGTTCTCCCTCACTAATAGCCATTCAATTTCGAGTTCTTTTTTAAGTAGAAACTTTCCTTCCACTTTCTGGTTAGCCATGGCACTACTTTCATCAGGACTGTAGTTTGGCAGTTACCTAAGTTTCCTACTTGTTTTGGCCAACTGCCACCTAGAATATTAAGTTCCCTGAGACAAGCTGTCAAAGGCAACACTCCTGAAACAGCCTATTGCATTTTTTTCCACACTTCTTGGGAATAGCAAGTCTCCCACTGGGCAAAGCAATCTCCTCCTCTGAATCTGGAAGGGGAAAAAACCTTGGGAGAGCCAGACTCTGACATGCAGCTCCTGGTAAAGTCTACAGAACTACTTTTTAATAGGGACATGTTTGTTGTTCAATGATTTTTGGAGCCAACAGGTATCTTTACAAGAGGGAAAAATAAAAACACTAAATTTTTTTGGAGGAATATTCCTCAATTATTTTTCTTAATCAGCAAAAGAAATGCAAACTGCTTCCTTCATCTACTTTTAACCATTTGTTAAAGAACTTGGACAGGCTCAGTTCAAGTCCCAAATTACAAAAATTGTTGAAGACAGCATTTGTTTTTACACGTCTTGAAAATCTGCCAAATCAAGACAAAAAAAATGTTAAAAATCTGGTGGCATAAGACAAACCCAGAATAAGAAAATAATTAACTAAAGTAAGTAAGCTTTCTGAGTTACCATAAATACTTCTAAATTTGAATTCACGTCAAAACATTACTTCTGAGATTTTATGATCACTGTATTTGGCACTATTGACTTAGCTGATAACATTTGTTCACAAGTAAATAACAAAATACATAGGAGAAATTGATGCCAAATAATAACTTATCAAGTTTTCTGCTCAAAAGGAAAAGTAATAGAAAACAGATTTCTATGGTAAATTAAGGAGAATTTAAATTTATTTTAATTTTTCTATTAAATCTAATATTCTATTTCTCAGCAATTTTTAAATTCTTATAATGTACAATTAATTATTTAGTGAAAGCTATCAAATATTTTCACATAAGGAACATGCTAGGGTTCCAATCAGTTTTAATTTATGAATGATCATTACATTTATGTACATAATCCACATGTGTATTATGACTTGAATTTATTTGAAACCATACTAAATAAATTATGAACTTTTCGATAACATGCACATTTTTCCTATTGCTCTTAATATATTGGATATAACTGTTCATCTAAGGCACAGTTGATTTTCCTTTTTGTGGCTGTTGTTTAAATTTTTATTTATATAGTCAGACACTAACTTTTAAGCTTTTGGATATATCTGTCTGATACATCACTTCTTCCAAGGATTTTCCCCAGAGCACTATCAATTTTCAATGAGAAGGAAATATGGGCCAGTGAGTAAGAAAAATTTCCAGGAATGAATCCTTGCTAAAGATTGCATACCATTAAATATTTCGCATTTTAAGTTATTCTTATTACGTTATCTCCAAAGGGTCAGGCATTAAGCTTTCACTCACCCTGATCACCTTAATTAGACTTGTTTCAGATTTATGAGGACTATAAAATTAGGAAACTTTCATTAAAAAAATTAAAACCCCCTGGATGGTTTCCCAAAGCACATCCAGCATTACTTAAGACTTTATTATTTCAGCTAGTTGGATACATTTTATCCACAGCTCTAGGCAGGTCTGTAAGAATTCTGTGACTGACGCCTAATGGAACCAATTTTCACTCTGGCAGAACAAATTCAAGTTCTAATACTAACTTGAATTCCAGTTTCCTTTGGATGCCAGGAATCAAATCCTTTAGGAAGAAAATGTATTAGAGCATCTGCCTATTAAGCGATATTCCATTTATTTTGTCTGAACAGCTAGCAGGAACAATTGACTAAAGTCAAATCCAAAATAGAAAACAAAGTTGTTGTTTTTTTAATCACTGAATTTGCTTTATTCCTTTTTTAGCCTTCTTTACTTTTTCTCCTTCTTGGCCTCAATTTTCTACAAACTTCCCCCATCTCAACTGAGGACCACAGACCTTTTTCAAACAGGAACAAATGTTTCGGTGCACACACCCACCTTCACTAACCATCATATTACATTCACAGTCCATTGACTGTCACTCACATTTTTATTACCCTGCATCTGATGAGCATTGATGCACTTGGGTGTCATCCTCTGCACAAGGAGGAAAAATAATAATTTATATAGAATTCTAAAAGTTGGCATGTTTTGTCAATAGCTTCATTGTTCCTTGTGTCTATTCATCACATCTTGCCTGCTATTGAAATCTTTCCATATTTTCCAACATTATTAAAGTCGGTCGTTATTAAAGCCATCTCAAAGAGATACCTCTGCAACTTCTAGATACTGTCAACTGAGAATCATATTTTCAATACTTCAAATTCTATTGTGTTTTCAAGCTTCTGAAATAAACATAATATTCTTGTGTATTGCCTAAGATGGAATTTCATGTAGACAATGATGTGATAGGAAAGATAATGCTGATCTAATGATTTTGGCATTGCCCCCAGATAACTGTGCTCCTCTGAGAAAACCAGCAATGGTTTTCTTATTATCAGAACACATTAAAGTGCATGTTCTCGAGTCCTACATGTCTTACATTTGAGAGGAAAAAAACACTGGAAAAACGACAGCTATATTTGTATTCATCTAGTTTCATCAAATATACTTTGGGCACACATTTTTTTTATAACCATCACATATTATTATACAAGACCACTTAAGGGATTATTGTATTGTTTTACTTTTATTTTTCACAAAAATCAGATTTAATTAAACCTTCACGAAAAGACCAAAAACAAATTATTCCAACCTTTCCTTCAGTAGGAATTACTTAAGTAATTTGAACCAGATACTTTAAATTGTTGGAGGTAAAGCTCAGTGAATAAGCCTCTCTATATGGAATGCATGCACTGTTTTAGTCGTTTTCAATTAATGTGAAATAGTTTTGCCAAAATATGACTGCAAATGGGAAGCCATCATGCTGAACATTCGGAACAATTATGGTGTGTTTCTATTATTTGTTAATATTGATATAAAAATACTGTTTAAACAGTTCATTAATGCTATTTTCCATTTAATCACAAAGAAATAAATTCAAAGCAAAAGTAATCATTTTACTGGTTTACCAAAGATCCCTGATGAAGCACACACACAGTGCAGAACAAAAGTAGGTCCTGAACAGTGTTCCCAGCTTCAAGAGAAACTTAAAACATGGGCATGGATTTATAGATCATACATTACCAGATGATTAGGGGAAGGTCTGAACATGATGTATATTCTGTGTGTGTGTTCTGTGTGGGAAAGAAAGAAAGCCAAAAAGGGGTGGGGGGGGGCACAATCGTATAATGAGAGTTATCTCTCTTAGGAGATTAATGGAGAGTGGAGAAAAAGATAAGTCAGAACTTTTCTCTATGGTGACAATACAATACTAGAAAAAAGCAGCCATCATATATAACTCACTATAGAATCTCCTGTCTTAGAGATAGACTACAGGGAATACAAACTCTGTTGCATGTGCATATATGTACAGGTGCATACATACATTTTTCTCTCCTGAAATTTTTATTTCAAATCTACTTTAAATAAAAATGAGTTAAGCTTCAAACAGGGGCTGGGTGAGAAAGGACCTTCTAAAAACTTTGCTCAACTCAGCAAATGCTTTACAAGAGAACAGTTATCTCTCAATTACATAAACATGCTCCAAGGACTACCTCTCTGTATTTTGATTTAGAAAGAAAGTGCTGTGGCTTTTAAAGAACAAAGAAGGAAAGCCTTCTCCATCTTTCCTTCCCTCCTTCCCTCTCCACAATTCGACCACTCCGTTTTTTCCTTTTTTTTTTTTTTCCAAATAAAGGTTGTCTCGTTCTTTCTTTTGACTTCCATCCCTCTTTTTGCCTCCACGACCACAAGTTTGTCTAAAAACGATTTTCCACGTAGGCCTCTTAACACATCAACGTGGGAAGGGGACACCCGCTATCCTGGGACTCGCCCACCTGACCCGGGCGGTCCCCACCACATACTTGCACCCTCAGCTCTCCTCGATTCTTTGGTGGAGGGGATTCCTCACGAGGGGCTGAGCACCCTACACAAGGCACGCAGTAAGTTAAGAGTTTCTCTGGCGCCACGCAGTGAGTGTCTCTACCAACATCTGCTTCCCTCCTCTTCCCCCCACCCCCAAGAGAAAAGCTGGGAGACTCGAAGCGCGTCTGCAAGTGCTTCCTCTGGTGGGCTCAGAGGTCTCCGAGCCCCTATTGGTGGCCCAACCCCTACTCTTACTCTTCCCGCCCGGGCTTCGGAGGAACCTGGATCTGGGGCCAATTGAACGCGCTCGGAGCCCCCCAACACCCAAGTGCCCACAACTGCCCTTCAGCCCCAGCCAGAAAGCGCCGGATGGGGCTTGCATGGAGCGTGTGGCCTCCGCAGGACCCATGGAGAGGCGGCGGGACAGGGTTGGAGAAGCCCGGGGAACGGCTTGGGGAGAGGGGCATAGTCAGGCTGTCCCAAGCGCTAGGGCGCCGCCGCCGCCTGCGCGCCCCCGCCCAGGCTCCGAAGCGAGCAAACGTGAGCACGGATCGGTTTCCCTTTAGAGAGCGGGCTTTTTGTTGAGAAGGAAACACATCGCGAAAGAAAGTCAGCTCGCACGTTTGTTTTGGTTTGTCGTCTGTTTGCCTCCCAATTAAAAGCGGCCGCCTAGGCGACAGCTTTGCGGTTTTCACAGTGTAAAACGGATTAGAGGAAAAACTCCAGCCCCTCTCGACTTTCACTTGCGGTTTGAAACCCCCGGGGCGGGTGTGACCCTGCGGCACCTGCCGGGGAGAGCTTCCCCAGCGGCGGCCAGGCCCCTGGCCTCGGCTTCCCAGAGGCGGGGCCCGGCAGGGTGGAGCCAAGGCTGTGTCCCCCGGGAAGGGAGGCTCCCATTATGCCAGTAAACTTCACGCGGGGGCTGCAGCCCGCCTCCTCTCCCCCGCGCCGTGGCCTGCCTGAGCTCTCCTCCGCGGTTCCAGGTCCTGGGTGTGAGGGATTCGTGGGGGCAGCCCCCGGGGAGGGGGGATCCCCGCTCCAGGACGCGGAGCAAGAAAGAGCAAAGGACAGGAATTGACTGCAGATGGCACCGGGACCAGAGTTGCCTTGTTCGTGTCCGGCTCAGGGATCTTAGGTTTTCCCCAAGAATCTCGAGTTCGCAGAGGCCACATATCCAAGAAACGATGAGTTCGTACGCATATTTAGTTGAAAAGGAAAGAAAGGAAAACTGCCCTTTCATCCTCTCCACGTTCCCTGCTTTAACCAAATAAACAAAGCATCCCAGCGAGAGTGGGCTGAAGCCCCGGCCGCCAGAGATGCGCAAGGAGGGGTTCCCTGCGGGCCAGCCATTCCTTCCCCGCCTCTTGCACCCGCACCTGCCCACGAGTTTGCGGGGCTGTAGGCGCCGAATGAGATTTCCCGGACAGCCAGTTTCGTCCTGAGCACTTGCATCCCAAACACCCATAGATAGGTGAGCCGTCGGCGACCCTTTCCCTCTGGTCTCCTGCCTTTAACTTATTAAAATAAAAGTTTGCTTTCAGGTTAAAGAAACGCCTTTCTGGTCTTTCCGGCCTGACGCGTGACTTACACATCCTTTGATACCTTTTCATACCAGCAGGGAATTATCAGTTGTGTTTGTCGCAATCGATACCGGGGCATCCGCGGACGAAGTCCTGCAGGTAGCGGGGCCAAGGGATCAAGGAACTAGCAGCAGGTCCCGCAGACTCCAACAGTTCTGGACGGTCGGGCCCGCTTTGCGAAGGAGACTTGCAGCGGTGGAATCTGAGTTGCGGAAGAACCGAACGCGCTGGTGGGAACCCGGCAGGTTCCACCTTAAGAGCCAGCGCGGCGCTGTGGCTGCGGAGGCGCCCGGCACCTGCAGGAGGCGCTGCTGTCCCGCGGTTCCGCCCGCGCCGCAGCCTCGCCGCTCCCGGTCCGCGGTCCCCGGAGGGGGTGGGGACGCTAGGGGAGGAAGGGAGCGAGTGGAGCCGTTAGGTAAGGAACCCGAGCTCTCCCGGGTTTTGAAGGAGCCTCACTGAGGCGTTGACTGGAGGGAGCTCTCCGTCCTTCAGCCGCGAGAGGAAATGTGGGGAGGCGCCCTCCCTGCCCCCACCGCCGGCCTTCCTGCCTCCCGCCACCTTCGCTCCCCGACCCTGGCGGTGCTTCCCAGACCCTTTGTTCTCGAGGTTGGGAGCTGCTGGGTGGGGGTTCCCCAGGGAAGAGGTCCCCATGCGCCACTCAGAAGGGAAGGGACTCTCGCCTCACCCCCCCAGCCCCAGGCTTCCCCAGACGAGTCCTCGGGGCCCCAACGGCCCCTTCCTTCGCGTACTGATGCCCCTTCCGAGCTGTATTCCGCAGCCCCCGAGCTCCGGCTCCCAGGCCTCCTCCGAGTCTACCCTCCTCCCTTCCCGTTCCTCCGCCACCTCCGAGGTCTCTGGGAAGAGGGTGGGGGAGGTAGACGCGAGGGGGAGGAGAAATCACGTCGCCGTCGCGGCGCACAGAATCCCCGGGGACGCTTTTAGGCCCCGACCGCGGGACCCGCTGCAGAGGAAGGGGTTTCCCGGCGCCGCCACCGGACGGAGGGCCCGCACCCCCACCGCGTCGCTGCGTAGCCCTGGGGCTCACGACCCAGCCCGCGTGGGCCCCGAGCCCCCAGCTGGAGAGAAGGCAACACCGTAGTCAGGGGAGGCGAATTGCAAACGAACGCTCCCTTCCCCCACCCCCCACCCCCACCCCACCTCTCGGGAGCGCCCCGCCTCGCCTCTCCGCCGCGCGCGACCCGAGGGCTCCCGCGATGGTATCTTGAGTACAGTTACAACTGCGCTCAGCTTCATTTCTCACTCGGGCGAAGGCGGCGCGACGTGAAGAGAGGATGGGGATGCGGGGGGGGCGGGGGGAGGTGAGACGCGGGAGCGGGAAAGGGAGCCGGGAGGTAGGAGGATGTAACGGGGCGGCGGAGCCGTGAGGGCCTCCCCGAGTCCCGGGTCCGAGTTCACGAGGCAGGAGCGCCCGGCAGGCCCACTCCCCGGCCCGGGCGGTCGCAGCCCAGGCCGAGCCCTCTATGTCCTCAGCTCTGTGGAGGCGCCTTCACACAGTGCCATCCACGCACCCCGCACGCTCGGGACCTGGAAGCGGGTGGCCCCCTACCCCCGGAGCAGTGGAGGCGGCGCGGGGCAGTCAGCTCAAAGCTTTCCAGAGTCCCCTTCGGCCTCTCTGCGTGACCCTGGACCTCACCGGCTCGTTGAGAGCCGCGCCAGCGGTTCTCTCGGCAGTGGGTTCCCCGGGACACACCCCGTCCCCACCCCCGGAGAGCTGGCGGCCAGCTCGGGATGCCATGCGGGCGCCCTGCCAAATTCCGCGTTCCTCTCCAGGAGACGAGGAGTTGCGTCCCAAGCTCGGGAAAGCCCGCAGTTTGGGCCCGGGACTCTCTGACAAACCCCCACCCACCCACTCCACCCCACCCAAGGCGCCAGGGACACCCCTGTAGGTTGAATTCCTGCTCCATATCACTTCAATTTTAATTAATCTTTTAAAACACCGCTGTCACGCCGCTTGCAGAAAATTAATCAAACCTGAATCCTTGTTGCATAGCAAGAATTTCGATCCGAGTCTTTTAAAAAGGACTTGACTTTGCAAAGTCACGTCTTTCACAGTTCCCTCATTCCCCCTTTAGCAAGGGAAATATCGCAAAAGTCAAGACATGTTTGTTTGGTTCTGTCTTCACAATGAAACTTTGCTTATTTCTGATCTTTATTTTCTGTCTTTGAACAAAAAATAACGAGATAAATTGCCTACCTCTGTTAATTCAAAATATAATTACTTTGAATGATCTTTGTTTAAGAGCCCAGATAAACTAAGATAATCTTAATTTTAATGTGACATGACCCCTATTTTTCCTTGTGAATAATGAGAATAAAGCAGTCATTAATTAATACCAAGATATCTCCATAGAAGATGGTATCTGGTCTCGCTGAGACGCTGAAATATCAGTTGTATTAGTAATTGATACTGTATAATTGAACATGGAGATAGTCGTCTATTTTTAACCTCAAAGCTCAGAGTTTATTTGGTGATTACCGAGCTCCTAACAATTAATTTTGTTCCTTCTTGCTGCATAAATAATTCTTATGATTCCCAGTTCCCATACAATACAGAGGCTTCTCATTAAAATCTCCCCCTCAAAATATAAGGTTGTGAAGCTATATTGTGCATCAACCCTTTTTAGTCCATTATTTATAACATATTTGCTTCATTTTTATATCTTCCTGTTTCAGTCTCCTTTGCTGCAATTTATCTACTAAAAAAACAGGAGCATGTAACTATGTCTTTTACCAGCTTTGTCTTTCTGTGTTCTGTTCGTTCAATTTAATATATAATACTTGAGATTTCCAGTCTTTCAAGTTTCTGAGGTTTGAGGATAAATTCCACTGAAGAATCAAACAATTTTGTACAGTGAAGCTGCCATAGATTATATACCCGCACCTAACCAAAACAGCCCACATTATCTCACACTTTCCTGTAGTTAAAAATAGACTTTGCTCAAACACATTCCGTTTTTTCCAGCATGAATTGAAGATCAGCTCTCAACAATTTCCTGGGTTAAATTTACATGTTAACCCAACTTTTGACATTAAAAAAAAATTCCCCTCCCAAGAAATAGAGAAGTCTTCCAAATAATAATGGAAATTTAGACTCCACCTTTAAGGTATCTATTTCTTAGCATCAATTTGCTGATGACCCTCACTTTTTAAGCCGGTGGAGGGGGATTATATTTTTCTCATACATGCAGAAAAAGGTTCCTATGTATTTCTCCAGTATGTCTCCCCAAATAGGTATAAAATATTTTATCTCACTTAAATATTCTTAGTACCTACACTACCAAACACGCTTTACTTGTCAGTGCTATTGCTGAAGTGATGAAGATTATAGCGGTTTTCCACTCTTATTTCCCCATCAGAACAATTAAAACTTTAGATCAATTTATGATGGAATCATTCTCTCCTCTTGGATTTTATATTTTCCCACTATAATTTAGACTGAAATGGGATTAAAACAGGATCTAGGGTTCTAATCTTGGTTGATGTTTTGGTGTATTCACCGTAATGAGTCCTATTCCCTGGGGTCATGAAGCTCCCAATTGTCAATCAAGCAAACTGATTCAGAAATGCCATTGTTCGAGTCCCACGTCATTCGCCTTCCTCTCATTTTATTTAACAATACCGGAGTTCTCTGATCAGTCATTCGGAATATGAGGCATTATCTGGGGGAAATTCACAAAGTGTCTTGATCTTTCTTTAGGAGATACTGTTAAGGGGTTTCCGCAAAGCATAAAGTGCTTGTTTATATCTCTGTCTTTGGACAGCAGTAGGGATCGAAAGAAACCCATGAATGCGGCTTGAAAGAAAATCATACCGTAAATCCGTCAAAAATTAATTCGTCCAGTTGAATGTTACATTTCTATTTTCGTGTTGGAAGCACCCTGACTTGTCACCGCAGGAGAAGTATGACTGGGTCTGGGTCCAGTTGACATACCCTCACTTTCAACCGCTTCTGTTTTACCACCATCTAATAATACTAATGTGTTTAGTCTACACTAGTTAACCAAGAATTTATTTGGAGGCAAGGAAGAGCCAAGCTCTGCCCCGGGAGCGCTATCCAGCCCATTCAGACCCGTTCGGGATCCTCCGCAACTCGCGTTTCCCACCCGCAGCCCTGGGCCTCGGTCCCAGCTCCGGGACAGTTCCCAAAGCCAAAGTCATTGAGTGTGTCACTAGTTCCGGGCAGCCAAAATTAATAATCAGCTTTACTCGTAGAGGCTTTGAGCCTTTCTCCTGAGTTCCCTGAAGGCGCCCTGTACGGAGCCCGGCTCCTGCGCGGACTTCCATTTAGGGAGGCAGGCGTGCGGAGAGGTTTCATGGGAAAAGCTGTCGCTTGCGTCTTTCCCCTAGAGGGCTGTGGGGAAAGATGCACGAACCCACCCTCCCGTTATGGGTTCTCACATCGGGATTCACTCCAAATCGCGACAGACGCCCGAGCTGGGTCGGCCGGACGCTCATGCTTGCACAAACGCTCGCGTTCGCAGCGCCCATTCCAAACGCACCAGCCGCGGTCTCCGCGCGCACTTAGAGCAGAAGTGACAAGGGAAGGCGGCGGAGGTGGGGACAGGGGGTGGAGCCGCTCTCTAGTGGGACACGATCAATCACTTGAAAGTAAAGGGTTCAAAAGTTCCAACCTCCCATTTGGAGGGTAGAGGACAGGCTTCTTTCTGCAGCCCACGGGTTCCCAGCAGCCGCGCTACAACCAGGGATGTCGGCCGCCCATCGCAGGAGCCACTTCCCAGGGACACCTCTCCCGCCCACGCAACCGGGCCGGGTCGACGAAGCTGACAGTGGGCAGTTTGGCTCCCCCGAGGGCCCGCTGTCCCTCGGCACAAACGCGCTCCCCGCCGGGACGAGACCCGGCGCGCGCTTTTCCCTTTCTCAGCAAGCGGGACAGGCCTGTCGGCGGAGACTGGTGAAGCCGGCGGCCTGGCAGCGCGGGGCCTCGCGGAAACCCGAGCTCCCTGCGACTTGCTCTGCAAGAAGGGCGGGGAAGAGCACCAGCAAGCTGCCCCGGAGGCAGACCGAGCGAATTCCTCAGAAAACCCCTTTTGAAACACCAAAACCTTCCAAATGATGTGGCTCTGCCCCTCCCCCTGTCCTGTGGCCTTCCATCCAGTCAGTCCACTCCGCACCACCGGGCCTGGCCCTCACCTGCGACCTTACCAGGACCTAGCCACCTCTCTTTTTCCCCACCCCCGCTTTTAAGCTCTATTTCCTCCCTGACCTTTCCGAGGCCTCGGCTAGGGTAGCCAGGGTGCTGCAGAGGAAATGAAATTGTTCTGGAGATTACAGTGGGGCTTTTGGCCAGGAGAAGTTTTTTTCCCCCCTTCTTTTTCTCATGCTTCCATGTTAAGTGCAAACTTGTATTTCCTTCCCAAGAATAGACAAATTTTCTCGCTTATTTGCAGTTTTGCAAAGTTCTACACACAGATCAGTGAACCTTAAGCACCCGGTTTTAGACCCACATTGTGGAGGTTTGTCAGGGTCCGTGGGCAGTAAGCGGAATGACAGGTGAATCCAGCAGCCCCAGGGGAAGCCAGACCTAACCCCCAAGACTTACAATAGGGCAGGGGCCCAAAGGGTCCCAAGCAGCTTCAAGCAACAGGTACACACCCTGCAGCAGAGCAGGCTTTCAGGATCCCAGAGCTGAGGCCCTGGACACAGAATTTGTTTCTTAGTGACCTGGGACAGAGATTCCCCACCTGCATCTCCCCACCCCCAGGAGACTCCTTTTCTCCAAATTACCCCTCAGCCACACAAGCACAGAAATCTTTCTACTCCAGCCACCTGCCCAGACACAGCCAGGCCTCATTTCAGCTTCAGCAGGCCCTCACAGTGTAAGTTTATCTGTGCTTTCAACCTGC